CTCCCTCTTCCCCCCCCCGCCGCCCACCCCATCCAGAGCCGGCCAGTCCTGGCGGCCGCCCGCCGCCAAGGCACGCACGCCGCCGCCCTGGCGGCGCCTAGGCCGGCGGCGCCCGGGGCGACAACGCCCACGCCGCGACAAGCACGGCTCCTCGGGGAGGGCAACAGACGACCAGGGGAGGAGGCAGGAGGGAGGAGGGAGGAGGGCAATAGACGGCCAGGGGGGGAGGGGGGACGAAGGGCCTCCTCCTCCCCTGGTCCCCCTGGTCCCCCTCGCCCCTGGTCCCCCGTGGTCGTCCTGGCCCCCCGGTGTCCTTCGCTCCGTGATGCATCCACGAGGACCAGGGCAAACCACGAATGCATCAACGGTGCTGCAATACACCCTCCCGTCCCAAGGCCCCCCTTTCAGAAGTCCCGACAAGCGATTTCGATTTTCCGCAGAGAATAGCGCACCGCGCGCTGGCCGCATTTAGGCGAGAGAGAGAGAGTTAACACCGTTGTGAAAAAATGCGTTCCAAGAGATGTGCTGGGAACACTATGGATCCAACACAGGGGTTTTGGATCCTGGCGATCGAGTTTCTGTCTCCCACCCGCGCGCGAGCACATTCAAATAGGTCGAACAACTCCTTCAAGCCACGCGTACGCCGCATCTGTAAATCGTGTTTGCGGTAGTGCTAGTGCCAGCTCGTGCGTCGCATGCAGCGATGCCTGGCACTAGCCCTCGCAGCCCCAGGATGTAGCCATGCTTCGCGCCACTCTGACATTTCGGTGAATCGCGCTCCTGCGATGAACTGGCTCGGGATGGGTCGCCTTTGCTCAGCCACCGCAATCCATTCGTCCTCCACCGCAATCAAAAAGGCGAACGACTATGTTCAACATTATGTTTGGTAGAAATCGGAGTTCGCCGACTCGCCATCCGTCAGGCGCCGCTGCCCTCGCGATCGACACATTGCTGAGTTGTGGGTGGACAACGTGAGCGCCTAGACGCGATGCTGCACATTCAACAACGTTGATCACGTGGGCCTACTCCTGGTGAAACGCCTCCCAGTAGCACGGCCCTTCTTTCGATAGATTGGGTCCCAACGCTCGTTGACGCTATTGGGGAAGTCCGCGCGCGCTCCAAGTGTAGCGCCGTCGCTGCCATTGACCTCGTGCATTGCAGAGCCTTGCCCCGGATTGATCCCCTGATTGATTCACTGATTGAATGGCTCGTTCGGGATCGTCTCCTTGGGAGTAAGGCAGTTTGACGCCCATGTCCTCCTGCTCGTCATCTGTAATAATTACAAAGTGCAATGACAATGGGGTGGGCAGGAGGAACGCATTGCCGCTTGCGTCGCTCCTGAAGTACCTCAAGCCTCAATTAGAGGCGGATGCCAAGGTGGTCTCCGGTGCCAGGGTCTCGGCGTCGTTGGCAAGGTTCAACCACATCGACTGCAACAGTGTATACGCTGATCATGTCGGGTCTCGGGGTGAATGCGCTCCTCGAAAGGCGGTCCCGCGTCGGGTCTTCGCTGCGCGTCGGCCCGCTCCCGCAGAGCGCTCGCAGGTGGCGCCATCTGCCCGTTCGAAAGATCGCGCCGGGCAGGCGGCTGCATTCCATGCTTGCGTTCGCGCCCACGCGCGCGATGATCGCGCGATCCCCTGGTGTTTCGCAGCCTTCGCATACCAATTCCAAGTTCCACGGACTCTGGGTCCGCCCGCGCGAAGAGAGACCATTAGATGAAAAAAGGTATACCATTCAACGCCATGTCCTGGCCGCGCACGTCCAGCGCGAGGCGCATGTTGTTCACGCGCTAATCCCCGCGCTCGTTCGCATTCGAAACCTCCGAATCCACTTTCGAGTCCTCGCCGAGGTCTGACAGATAGTTCGCAAAAAAAGTCAAACCAGATGTCGCCGCGACTTCGGAGACCCCCAACTGTGCTGTGGCATCCAGGCGAGTGTATTGCAAGGCAACGATGTCCACCTCGAAATCGCCAAGCTTGTCTTGAGAGCTTTGCAGCGCGGTGACGTTCGAGTTTAAGATACTATTGGCGTTCGACGCCACCATAGCGAGCAATCGTCAATTTGCATGTCGATCGACTCCTGTAACCTCTTGGCTGCCTGAGTGCACGGCGTATCGTTCTCCTTCTCCTCAGGAATCCCTGAGCCTGAATGCGTGCCTAGCTTGCCCAGCCAGTGTGCCAGACCTTGACTCTGAGCCTGAGCTGTTGGTCGATGTTGCTATTACTTGACATCGTCGTTCTGGCCGCCCCCCTTTGGGGCGCGGGGCCCGCCGGGGCGCTGGCTGCACTCTGTGGCGGAGGCGCCCTGGCCAATCCTGGCGGCGGGGAGAGCCGCGCCACAATCGGGCGCACAGCGTCGACATCTCTGCCAAACTTGGAGCCGCGGGGGCGTCCTGTGGGATGGGTGCCCTCACTTCTCTGGCCATCGCCGGGGCGCCCGCGATGGACATCTCGCGGACGCTCAGGGCGCCCTGAGTTCGAGCACAAAAAACTGGCAGAACCCTGGCGCCTTTTCATGATGTGTTCGATGCGAGCCGCTTCCGGCTTCCGTCCGATCAGCTTCTCCAGGGCGGAGCACAATCCAATGCCATGCGTGTTATTGGGGTAGTGGTGTGATCTCCCATGCCGCCAGCATGAGTGGTGCACGATGCTGTAAGTCGTGTCATGCTGTTTTTGCATGCGATTCGCGAGCGTCCCTCAAAGCCGCCAATATCCATGTGTTTCACTCATGTCGGCACTTGCTGAGAACTGGATGATATCCGTTTCCAAATGTTTGGGTCACCTGCTCGAACCCATTGAAAGATGGTCCCATCGAGGCCTGATCGTGTGCGCAGGAGCGCAACCTCGGAGGGTGAGGTTTTGAAGAGGCCGCTGATGATTCGCTGTCCTGGAGAATCCTCATCGGCCCATCTGCCGCTCCACACCTTGACGTTGTCGGTGCTATGTCTCTGCATCCTCGCTTCCGCAACTGACGATACCTCATTGTCGAAGACCCTCCACAGAGGCGCTGGCCTGTAACGTCGGCGACCTCTTTCTGATCGTCGGTCTCGAAGAATGGAGACACATGTTTGCCAGCGTGGGCCCCACGACGGTTGCTCGTGCACGGCCGATGTGCAAACGATGCGGTGCAATGAAGCGTGGTGTAAGCATTGGCCTGTAGCACACGTGATGCAATACATGTGCGTGGTGCGCATTGCGTGGTGCAGTGTATGTGGCGCAAGGTATGTGGCCGGGGTTGTGTGACCAAACCCTTATACGAGCCCCCAATGATGGAACGAATTATCTTTTCGACGCCCTTATTGACGGACCGGGGCCCCAACAACAGTGGAAAGTGGCAATTTATCCGCGGCGCACGCCGTGCAACAACAACGACGACGACATGAAAGAGGAGATTGTGTGCAACGCCTTCGGCTAAGCATGCGGGGATCAATAATGCAATCCTCTTGCAAGCATGCTCAAAATTACTTTGTCGCAGGGTGGCCCAAGGAGTATTACTCCCTGGGCCAATCATCTCCGCCGCGACGACGGCGACGCTTCAGACTACGACGCAGATACAGACCACGATTGCGACTACCACCACGACGACGAGTATGGCTACAATCGCGGCCACAATCACGACCACTAGTCCGTATGAATATCCTGAAAAGTAGATGGTTTCAAATCCACTCGCGTGTAAGGTAACCCTCAATGGATCATTCCCTGGGAGAGAGCCCCCCCCGCAAAATACGAAACCCGCCCAAGAATGGAGGGAAAATCCTAGCCGCGACGACGACAACGACGACGACAACAATCACTACGATCGTAATGACGCGGTCGTCGTCATAGTAGCAGCAGTAGTAGTAGAAGCAGTCGTAGTAGTGTCAGTGGTCGTGGTAGCAGTAGTAGTAGTAGTAGTAGTAGTAGTAGTCGTAGTAGTAGTAGTAGTAGTAGTAGTAGTAGTAGTAGTAGTAGTAGTAGTAGTAGTAATAGTAGTAGTAGTAGTAGCAATAGTAGTAGGAGGAGTAGTATGAGGAGTAGTAGAAGCAGTCGTAGTAGGTACAAGAAGTAGTAGTAGACGGAGTCGCTGCAGTAGTAGTAGAAGTAGTAGTTGAAGTAGTAGTAGTAGTAGTAGTAGTAGTAGTAGTAGTAGTAGTAGTAGTAGTACTAATAGTAGTAGTAATAATAGCAGTAGTCGTGGTAGTACTACAAATATAAGCAGTAGTGGTGGTGGCAGTAATAAAAATACGAAGTCGTACCAGGAAGTAGTCGTAGTAGTAGTAGTAGTAGTAGTAGCAGTAGCAGTAGTAGTAGTAGTAGTAGTAGTAGTAGTAGTAGTAGTAGTAGTAATACTGGTAGTAGTGGCAGTAGCAATAGCAATAGCAGTAGTAGATAGTAACGACTGAAGTGGCAGTGGCCGTCTTAGAAACATTGTTAGGCCGTACCAGGTAGTAGTAGGCAGTAGTAGTAGTAGTAGCAGTAGTAGTAGTAGTAGTAGTAGTAGTACTGGTGGTACTAGCAGTAGTAGTAGTAGTAGTAGTAGTAGAAGTAGTAGTGGTAGTAGTAGTAGTAGTAGTAGTAGTAGTAGTAGTAGTAGTAGTATACGTAGCAGTGGTAGTGTTAGTAGGAGTAGTAGTAGTAGTAGTAGTAGAAGCAGTAGTCGTAGTAGTAGTAGTAGTAGTAGTAGTATTGGTAGTCGTCGTATGATTAGTAGTAGCAGTAGTAGTAGTAGCAGTAGCAGTAGTAATGGTAGTAATGGTAGTTTTGGTAGTAGTAGTAGTAGTAGTAGTGGTAGTAGTAGTAGTAGTAGTAAGAGAAAAGTGGTAATAGTAGTCGTACTCGCCGTCGTAGCAGTAGTAGTAATCGTAGTCGTGCGAGTACTAATACTCATACTAGTGCTGGCACTAGTACAAGCTCTCGTAGTATTAGTGGTCGTAGCCGTGGTAGTAGTAGTAGTAGCAGTAGTAGTAGTAGGTGTAGTAGTCGTCGTAGTAAAGGGTAGCAACAGTCGTAGTAGTAGTAGTAGTAGTAGTAGTAGGAGTTGTGGTGGCAGGCACACTCGTTGTAACTGTAGCCGTGATAGTAGTAGTTAGTGTAGTAGAAATTCGCAGTTGTAGTCGAAGTCGTGTTGGCAAAAAATAGCAGTAGTAAACATAATCGTAGGCATAGCCGTAGTCGCGGTCACCTTGAACGTCTGAGTAGTAGTAGCAGCAGGAGTAGCAATAGCAATAGTGGATCCTCGCCGTCGTCGTAGTAATAGTAATGAAAATAGTGGTAGTAGTAGTAGTAGTAGTAGTAGTAGTAGTAGTAGTGGTAGTGGTAGTGAGAGTGGAAATAGTAGTAGTAGTCGTCGTCGCCGTCATAGTAGTAGTAGTAGTAGTAGTAGTAGTAGTAGTAGTAGTAGTAGTAGTAGTAGTAGTAGTAGTAGTGTTAGTAGTAGTAGTAGTTGTAAGATTATTAAAACGAGTAGCACGAGTATGTCGTAGTAGTAGTAGAAGTAGCACTCGCAATCGTCGTAGAAATAACGCTATGGGTAGTGGTTGTTGTAGTGGTAGTACGTGGTAGTAGTAGTAGCAGTAGTAGTAGTAGTAGTAGTCGTAGTAATGGTAGTAGCAGTAGTAGTAGTAGTAGTAGTCGGTAGTAGGTAGTATGTAGTAGGTAGTAGGTCGTAGGAGTAGTAGTAGTAGTAGTAGTAGTCGTAGTACTAGTAGTAGTAGTAGTAGTAGTAGTAGTAGTAGTAGTAATAGTAGTAGTAGTAGTAGTAGTAGTAATAGTAGTAGTAGTAGGAGAAGTAGTAGTGGTAGTATTAGTAGAAGTTGTCGTCGTAGTAGTAGTAGCAGCAGCAGCAGTAGTAGTAGTAGTAGTAGTAGTAGTACTACTGGTAGTCGTACTCGTAGTCATAGTCGTAGTCGTAGTCGTAGTCATAGTCATAGTCGTAGTCGTAGTCGTAGTCGTAGTAGTAGTAGTAGTAGTAGTAGAAGTAGTAGTAGTAGTAGTAGTAGTAGTAGTGGTAGTGGTAGTAATAGTAGTAGTGGTGGTAGTAGTAGTACTCGTCGTAGTCCTAGTCGTAGTCGTAGTCGTAATCGCAGTCGTAGTCGTAGCCGTAGTCGTAGTCGTAGTAGTAGTAGCAGTAGTAATAATACTAGTAGTGGTAGTAGTGGTGGTAGTAGTAGTAGCCGCAGTAGTAGTAGTAGTAGTAGTAGTAGTAGTAGTACTAGTAGTAGTAGTAGTGGTAGTGGTAGTAGTAGTAGTAGTAGTAGTAGTAGTACTAGTAGTAGTAGTAGTAGTAGTAGGAGGAGGAGGAGGAGTAGTAGTAGGAGTAGTAGTAGTAGTAGTAGCAGTAGTAGTAGTAGTAGTCGTAGTAGTCGTAGTAGTAGTAGTAGTAGTAGTAGGGGGGCTCGACCCCCCTCCCCTCCACTTCAAGATGTGCGGGGAGACACTGGATGAGTCCCGAGACTTTGGCGCGGGGTACCAGCTACGACTTCCGACACTGCAAGCGCCCATAGAAGATGATCTTTTCAGGCTGAGGGGGACTTCAAACGAAAGCCCCAATCTAGAGAACAACCGCGCTCCATTCTTGACCTTGCTGCACCAACGAAGCAAACAAATCCTCAACCCTTTAAAATGCAGGAAACGGGTGAAGCGACTGTGCAGGGCACCAACGCGAGAATCAAGTATGGAAAAGGAGCCCGATCCATCCTGACAAATACTGAAATCGTTTAAGGTGAATGTGCGCCGCGTTGCAAAAGAAACGCATCCAATCCGCGACACTGTTGGGTATGTCGAAGTTCAACATCAGAAGCAACGAGAAAGTCTGAGGCGAAACACCCAGCCCACCATACCGATAGGTCTGGTGGTGTCACGAGGAGAGCCGGAATGTAAGGACGAGGCATGGAGCGATGCGTTGAGAGTGAAGACCGGGGGAAACTGGTGGCAGGATGGAGAGCACGCCAGGAGGCATCGAGTGGACACAGCACCGTTGCAAGAGTTGCGAAGCACGGCATCGACAATTGCTAGGGGAACGAAAAAGAAGACGAAAAGCGAGTGAAGACAACTTTAGCAGTCGTGTGGAGATGGCAACTTAGCAAATGATGTACTAGACATGTAACACGAACTGGGTAAGCACAAATAAGATTAGCGAGCTCCTGCAAGCACATGGGCACGAAGAGCTTCTCAGGATCACCACTCCCATCTACCTCGCAGGAGCCCAGGTGTCACAGGAATCAACAGTGAGCTGCGGCAGCAGCATAGCCATCTAGTTGCCATGAAAAAGCATGGCGCACGAACAGGCGTTGGACAGTCGGGCAATTGGCCTGTAGCCGTGGTCCAGCGATGGCGCTGCAAGTGGGCGGCGGGACTGCACAAGTGCGGCACGGCAAGCAAACTCGACGATGCAGGGCAAGCAGGATGAGCAAGACTGGCCATCGCTCGGACGTCCATTCCCTGTGTTTTTTTTTCGGTTTCGTGCGTGGTTTTTTCGCCAAATGATCAAGGATGCTCCTCGATGGTCCTCGCCGAAAGAAAAATGCACACGTCCGAGCGATGCCAAGGCAAACCGTCAACCTGGTCACCGCCGGGGACCTCGCAGAGCTCCGAGTCGCTTGCCCGCTTCGCACGTCTGCCCAGGAGAGCTCACCGGAGGAGCAGCACGAGACGAGCCGAAAAGCGATGTTCTTCGGTGTCGACGCGACGTCGGTTCCTCGAAGTGTGTTGGCACCCGCGACGCCCCAGCGGCCCCAAGGCCCCCCCTGCACGCTCGCGTGGGCGCTCGGAGTGGCCAGGCCCTGCCCCTCCTCACCGCCTCTTGCACGGTGGGCGAACCGCTCGGGCCATCAGCAACTGCGCATCCTGCACCGCTACCTGCTGGGCTGTCCTCCCAGTCACTCCCCCTCCAGAAGGCTTTCGCTAAGTGCCCAAGACGTCACATTCCTTGAAGGTCGGAGGGCGAGGAGGAGCTTCGCTGCCAACGAAGGGAGGAGAGGGGGAGGTCCAAGGATGGATAGACAGCGGAGAGGACGGGGAAGACTGCGGGGGATCGTGGACCCATACCACCGCCGACTCGATACAGCGTCGCGCCTCCAAGCCCCAGACCCCTCGACCCTTTGCCTGGTACGGGCTTGTCGTTCTCATCGGCTACGTGCGAGGGTGACCCCAGGTGGCCGCGGGGGGCAAGCGCGCAAGCCTGTGCTGCGGGGGCCCCTGTGGGCCCGATCCAGAGGTCCATCCTCCGGCGAGGGGTCCCTCCTGGGCGTGGCCGACCTTTTGGGCGTTCGTCGACGGGGAAGCAATAAACGTAGGGTGAAAGAGAAACGTGCACCTACTGGGACCGCGGTAGCCGTTGAGGGCCGCTCCGGGGCCCTCCGGGGCCACCTGCCTGCAGCCTTCGGCACACCCCGCGGCCATTGCCCACCCCGTTGCCGTCCGCCCGAACCCGAGTCGTGCTCTGGCAGCCCCGGGGCATGCCGAAGAGCCTCGGGCCCGATATACTCTCGGGCCCCATCTGGAGGCCTGCAGGGCGGGGAGGAGGTCGCGCGGAACGCTGGGTAAGCAGCGAAGGGGCTCTTCTGGCCACGGCGAGCCTCGGCCACGAGTGGGCGCACCAACCCAGGGCTAAGGGATGGCCCGGAAGCCAGGGCCCCTCCTGAGCCCTAAGTGGTTTCTGTTTCAACGTCTTTACTGCAGGGGGGTGGGGCTCAGTGTGGCGGGGACATTGACTCGGAATCGGCCTTCGATGGCGACCCGCGGCATTCCGAGGCGGGCTGGGCAGCACACGCCCCGAGTGGCGGTAAATGGGCGACTGGGGGTCGATGCTTGCACCCCTCAGGGCATCCGATGACACGAATGGGGACAACTCATCGTCCTGGATCGAATGGGCAACCATGTGTCAACCATGCCCCTGCAGGTCAGATGTCTGAAAAAACGGCTGGGGTTCTGAATTTGAAAGATGCCTGCAGCCAAATGAACCCCTGCGGAGGTGTCAGATCCCCCGTCGCCGAATTGACCCGTAGAGGTAGAGCTCGCAAGTGGCGGGAGATCCATGTTTGATGGCGCCAGGGCCCGAAGGGCCGAAACATGGGAAACGCATTGGGAGTGAACAAACATTCATTCTTTCGGACGTCTCGGACCCCAACTGCTGCATGGTTCCATGGTGCGGCCACGGGTTGTGCACAGGCAGCCCCCCCAGGTAGCTGGCCTCAGCAGCCGCGACTACCTGGAAGCCCATCCGTGCGCGGCCCGAAGTCTTACAACCGCCGCGCCTGCTCGACGCAACGTGTTGCCGGAAGTGCCCCTGGCCCACGGTGCCCCCAGCTGAAGGGGCCCAAGGACACAAATAAATACACACAAATAAAAATATTCCCCATATGTTTCCATATTTTCTGGGTTTCTGTCTTTCCGCCGACTTCCCATATTTTCCCATATTTTCTGGAGAATCGAAGATTAACTGTGTCTGTGTGTTTCTTTTCCTCCTGACCAGCATCCCCCAGGAGGCTCCCGCGTCCTCCGGACCATGCCTCACGAGGCTCCACAGGAGTGGAGCGAAGAGCTGGAGGCACCTCGTGCCGAGGGCACCTCTAGCAGCCCCCGGAGAAAGCGCGGGCCTCTCGCGGCAGCCCCTGCCCACGAAGTCCCCGATGCCCGCCGCGTTCTCGCGCACGAGGCGCAGAAGCCGGCCGCCCTCGCGCGCGGTACATAGATATACATATATATATATATATATGTATATATATATATATATATATATATGTACATATATATATATATATGTGTGTGTGCTGGACCACGCGCGCGATTCGCGCGCGCTTGGGTTCCAGCGAACTCCAGCTGTAGTCTAAAGTGTTCGGCATCGGAGGACATATCTTGTCACAGGGATCGTGCACCTCAGAGAGCTCCACCTGCGGCCCCTCACACAGGCTTGGCTGAGGGTCCCCCCCGCCCATGCCGGTAGACCCCTCACAGACATCGCGTTCCACAGGGATTAACCACTAATTACATCCCTGAAAACGAGGTTCGCACAGTGGCTCGCCCCTCACGCGGACCGTGCTCCGCAACGAAATGCAGTTGCGGCACCAGAAGGGAGCTTCATAACATCGCCCCGCTCACTTCGGCACACCTGTCACACGGATCGTGGCCCGCAACGATATCCACGGACGGCCTCAAAGACAAGTTTCGCATCCCGCCATCCCGCCTACTTCGGCACACCTCGCACACGGATCGTGATCGTAGCCCGCTGGGTTCCCTCTGCGCCCCCCCCCCCGGCCATTGCAGCACACCCCATCACGTGGATCGTGCCATCAAGGAGCACCACCGAAAGGCCCGGAAGGTTCGTACAACGCCCCCCCGCCCATGCCCCAGCACAAGCATCTTTGCATGGCGTCCCCGCGCCCATTTTGGAACATGCCTGGCACGGGGCGTGCCCGGAGGAGGTCCACCTGCGGCCTCAATGGGCGTGCTCGCGCGGCCCTTCACGCGGATCGTGCCCCACAAGGAGTTCAGCGCACCCGTGCACGCGTGTCCCGCGGCAGCAATCTTTCCGCATTGCCCCGGCCTCTTTGGCTGTCTTAGAGCGTTCCTGGCCTGTCGGACGCTGCTGGAAGTCGTCTTCTAGCTTTGAGGCCAACCTTCGCCGTCTTCGAGCCCGCTTGGAGCGCTTCGGGGCTGTCTTGGAAGCAATCTCAGGCGTGTTGAATCCTCTTGGGCCATCTCGGGGCCCTCCTGGGGCCGTCGTTGGGGCTTCTTGGGCCGTCACGGGGCTATCGTGAAGGCCTCTTGGGTGCTCTGGGGGCCATCTTGGGAGCCTCTTAGGCCATCTGGACCGTCGGCAAGTCGAACAGAAAAACACAAATGCAAACATCATTCAAACACCAACGGGAAATCGATGATCTTAGCTTTTTCGGGCTTTCCCAAGGGATGTATTGGCGGCGTCTTGGCCGCCTCGGAGGCTAACTGGAGCTATCTGGACACCATGTTGGGCCGTGTGGGGTGCATCGTGGGGCCATCGTGGGCTCTCTTGAGGCCATCTTAGCGGTCTTGGAGGCATCTCTGAAGCCATCATGGGCCATCTTGACCGTCTTGGAGGCCATCTAGGCCATTTTGGACCAGGAACGGGGGGGTCCTGGAGCCCCGGTCCCGCCACGGAGAAATGAGGCCGGGCCCCCTGGGGACCTGGAGCCCCAGACATGTGTGTATGTACAGATACATACATACATACAGACAGGCAGGCAGGCAGACAGACAGACAGACAGACGGACAGACGGACAGACATACATACATACAGACACATACACACACAAACACACACACGCTGGAACCACGCGGCGCTTCGCGGGCGCTCAGGTTCCAGCGCAGTCCGAGTGTGCTTACCGGACTGGGTGAGGATGGACATCACCCCGCAGGGATCACCATCTGAGAGCGCACTCCCTGATGGACAATTCGGAAGTCGTTGAACAAGCAGGCCCTGGGAGATCCTGCAAATCTGAGCAGATACACCGAACAGCTGCCCGAAAATAACCCTTGGAAAGCTTCGAGAGGCTCGTGGCATGTGGACCGTCTTTCGCGGTCTTGGAGATCTTTTGGGTGTTTTTCAGGGCCTCCTAGACTCTCTCGGAGTGTTTGGGAGCTCCCTTGGAAACCCTGGAGGCCAATGATATTGGGCAGCTCAAACCATCTAAGGGCTGCCAAGTTCAGTCGAAGCCGTAGCGGGTGCGGCCTTGGGAATCCCTCAGGTCGTACTGCGCCTTGCTGTGGAAAATGAAAATGTTGACCGACGTACGGTACCATCGGCGGTGGACAAACCTCCTTTTAGTAAACCTCTCCTTAGTGAAAACGGCCTGGGACCAAAACCGACGGACCTGGACCCGCGACAATGACGGCCGCGACGCCCTCTCGCGAACCGAAAACGGCCAATTCCTTAATCGACGTGTCAGGGTAGGAGGTCTGTCCAACCCCGATACCAGACAGATGGCTCGGCTCACCCCTCTGATGGAGGCGACATCCAGCACGAGTTGGCGCCATAGGTACGCGTGCAGGGCAATTCCCCCTGGCTTTTCTCTGGGAGGCAACAGGCCGCAGCAGGGCTCGCAAAGCAGCCATGTGGAGGACCTAGGGCAGCCTATTGGGGGACGCCCGAGGACTCCTAGCAGCCTGGACGAATCATGCTGGGAGCCTTGCTCGATAGATTTGGAGGACGTTCTCGGAGGGCTCTTAGGGGGTTCTGGGGGTAGGGTCTCTTTGGTTTTCGGTTGGAGTCTCCCGGTGATCTCTTGGACTTTTTGGGCGCGCCTCGGGGGCCTCCCCGGGGCTCTTGGCGAGTGGGCTCGAAATGTCGAATGGGGTCGGTTTGGGAAAAGAAATGTTTGAGGAAGCTCCTTTTTCACAACCATCCTGTGTTGTTGGGTCCTCGTTTTGGAGAGACAGCGCCCTGCGTCCTCCTCTCGTCCTATCCTCTCCTCTCCTCCTCCCCCTCCTCCCTCCTCCATCGTCACCATCATCCTCATCCATGCGTCCCCGCATCGATTACGGCACACCCCGCACACGCTTCGTGTCCCCAAAGAGGGCTCTGCCGAATGCCCAGGTGGCAAGGTTCGCATGACACCGCCGCCTCCATTTCGGCACACCCCTCACATATTTCGTGACACGTGGCAGGGTTCGCATGGCACCGCCGCCCCCATTTCGGCACGCGCCTTACATGCTTCGTGACACTATAGAGAGCTCTGCCGAAGGCCCCAATGGCAAGGTTCGCATGGCACCGCCGCCTCCATTTCCGCACACCCCTCACTCGCTTCGTGGCCTCATAGGGAGAGGGAGCTCTGCCGAAGGGCCCAGTGGCAGGGCTCGCATGGCACCGCCGCCTCCATTTCGGCACACCCCTCACTCGATTCGTGGCCCCATAAGGAGCTCCGCCGAAGGCCCCAGTGGCAGTGTTCGCATGGCAGACGAGGAAGAAGGGGGAGGGACATTGACGAAGCGGGGAGGAGGGAAGAGGAGAGGAAGGACAAGGATGTAGAATGAGAGCTGGAGGAGAACCAAGAGTAGGAGAGAGAGAGAAAAATAGAGAGAGAGAGAGAGAGAAAAAGAGAGAGAGAGAGAGAACAAGAAAAACCGACACCGCTGGATAGGGGAAACGGAAACGCACTCTGGGGCACGCAAAAGCCTGCTGAGACGGGAGGGAACGGAGGGGGATGGACGAACTTGAAAACAAGGGATTCGATGGAATCCCCTTCTTCTCAATTTGCCTCTGGAGGGCTTCAAGAGCACCCAAGAGCGCCCCAAGAGGCCTCCAAGAGTCCCCTCAGAGCTCCGGGGAAGCCTTCGAGAGGTCACCATCAATTGCAAACACTTCAGGGAATTACGATGTATGTGCTCTCGCATATCCGCCCTTAACACGCTTCCGAGGCTTGCGCATGCACCCCAGGAGAGGTATAAGTTGCCCCCAAGATGCGCTCCGAGCGGCTCTTGGGGGCATCTTGGAGCTCTTGAGGGCCTCTCGGTGCCCTTTCCGGCGCCGGGTGTCTTTTTCGGCGCCGGATGCATCCGAGGCGGCTCCTGGGAGCTCGTTGGGGCCTGCTCGGAGTGTCTTTGGGGCCTCGGGGGTGCCCCTTCGGGCGTCATGGTAGATGGGAGCTTCGTGTGGCCGCTTGAAAGACCACTTCGAGCCGCTCGGGACGCCTCCCGGGGTCCTCTTTGGAGCTCTCTTGGGGGGCTTGCGCAAGCCTCGGACGCGTGTCGAGGCAGAAGTGCGAGAAAACGAAAGATCATTGATGGTTCATGGAAGTTTCAATGATCTTGGCATCTCGAAGGCTTCCCTGGAGCTCTTGGGGGAGAGCCTCTTGGGACGATCTTGCGTGCTCTTGGATGGGGCAATCGAAAGGTACCGATACTGCTACTCCCCGGACCTCTCCCGGGGCGCGTGCTGACCAGGATTTCCAGGCGACTCCAGCGGTGGCGACGAGGGCCTTCCAGGAGGCCCAAAAAGGGGAAAGCCAGGGAAGGGCACCAATATGGGCACCTCTTCCTCCTCTGATTGGAGGCTTCCAGAGCCGTCGGGGGACCGGCTTGGACAGCCTTGGAGCATTCTTGGGCTGTCTCGGGCGCGTCCTGGGCCGTCATCAGGCTCTCCCGTTCTTGGGCGCCAGGGAGGGTGGTACTGGCCAAGGCCACGCTAACGGCGATGTTGGTTAACGGCGATGTTGGGAATATGGTTTCTGCGACGCCGAATTGCGCAGAGCAACTTGTGGGAAAACGCAGATAAGCCTTTCCTACAATCAATTTGGCCACGAACCGCCCCCACATACAATACCGACACCTACATCGCCGTTTTCAATGAGCGTGTCTAAAGACCAGGCATTTGCTGGAAATGGTAGCAGAGTGGGCGGAGCCCCTGGGGGGAAATCCGCCGACCCCTTGTGGGTCCTTAGGCGTGTGAGATTGTCCCCCCCCATAACCCCCCCCCCGGGGACCCCAAACCGGCAATTTGACCCCTCCCCCCTCGCCCACTTCGACCCCAGCCCGAAGTCCTCCAAGGCGGTCTGGGCTGCCCAAGCTCCGCTTGGAGCCTCCCAAGACACCCCCCAGGCGTCCCAAGAGACCAAAAAAAACGCCGAATGATCGCTCCAAGGCGCCCAAGATGGGCCCAAGACGACCCGAAAGGCCGCCAAGACGGTCCAAGAGGCGTCTAAC